CTCCCAAACGGATGGACATAGGGGGGCATGTATACAACCATTTTGTAGGGGACGACGAGCTCTACAATTTCCATGTAAAAATTCTTCGCTAGCTTTAATAGTTTACGAGTAATTTGCAAAAAACTGTTTTTTCGTTTTTCGTCAATAACTCGTAAACTATTGAAGGTAGCAAAGAATTTTTACACGGAAATTGTAGATCTCGTCGTCCTCTACAAGAAACGTTGTATGCAATTTTCCTGTAGAACCAACGGTTTAGGAGTTATTGAAGAAAAACGAAATTTTTTGTCAAAAGTTCGCAGTTTCGACGCTGGGATGGTCGGATTTTGTCAACATCAATAAAATGCCATATAATCATATGTAACTCATTAAATATCGAAATTAGAAGAAAAGTGCACTATTTTTAATTACAGGAAATGCGTTTTTAAGGCACATAAACTTTTGGTATTGACTATATAGCCACTACATCCTTAATTTCGCTGAGGTCGATCAAGCAGCGTGTATCATTCAAGTCTCACCGCTCGGATTCTCAGGAAAACCGGGTCCGTGCCCAGGGAATTACCATAATTACCTAACCTATATGAAACGGATAAAGTCATCGGATGGTTTAAAGTTAACGTAGTGTGGAGCCTCGTCCACGCAATGGATCAGGTCCCGACGTTTAAGGGAGAGAGAAGAGCACCGGGCGAATTAAAGCGGCGGGGCGCGTGAAGCCATTATGAGGCCGTTTGCAACCGCGATCGCGTCCGGCAAAATCGGTTCGGATCTTCTCGGCTCGCGAATTAAGGGCAGCCCGTAATTTACGATTAAATGAAGCAATTAACGGATTTAAAATTCAAGCGACGCGCCATCGTCGATCGTTTGTCGGCATCGCTCGTACGATGCCTCCTGGAATACGTTCATCATTTCTTAATGTTGCATAAGCACTTAAATAAAACTAATGAGAAACCATTGAAATTTTAACATTTATTAGGTATTTTTCCTTAAATTAAAGCAAGGTTCTGTTATTCAACCTAGGAATTCAATATGTAATAATTTTGTTAATAGCCTCGCAATGTTTTTAAAATTTTTCACAGTCTTTTAGTAATATAATATCCAATAACTGTTAAAATTTCAATGCTGTGTCATTGTTTGTATTTAAAAGCCCATGATCATAAATCATCGTGCATTGATTCTAGTCTCCACTTACCAGAAATTTTTTTATACGAGTACGCGTTTATTATCTGTTAACCGCACCTCTAATTCAACTCTTTTGTGCGAACGTATTTATCAATTCCCGCACGGTTCACAATTCGCTGTGAACGGCGCGGTAACAATTTAGATAAAGACGCGAAGATACGGCGTGTCGATATTTATTCGCATTTAACAGCACGTAGCAACGACAATGCAACCGACCGTAAATTGGCAAGCCTTTCCGGTACGGCGGCGCGCCTCGACACGCGTTTCCTACAATTTTTCATACGTCCGCGGCGTTTCATAGAGAGAGAATCGCACGGTGATTAAGCGATTACCGTTTGCGAACCGACGGCCGGTTGCTTCGGTAACATACAACCGATTCCACAAAATTATAGTGTTCTTAAATGAAGCATCGTAGGCGTGCGCGCGGCGCGTACCTCCGGTTTTATGTCCGCTCGAATCGTGGGGAACGATCAATACACTATAGCGACGAAGTACACAGATTTTACGGTCCTATGTGTAGAATCCAAGTTTTTCTAATTCGAGTTAAGAATGAGACGTAATGCGCTATACCACTTATCGATTCAAACGCGACTAATTCTCTCGTCTCCATAAATTCTATTAAACCTCGTGATAAATCTGCAACTCCTTTGTGCTATTCAATTATTAATGATCATTACGCATTAGTTGTTATTTAAAATTGACTTAGAAAATAAATGAAACGCTGGTGGAATTAGCGTCGATAGGAAGCATAAATTGTCTTTAAGTATAGTTATTCATAGACGAGAGCTACTGCCGGTCGTTAAGCATCTGCAGACACGCAACGCGTTATTTCTTATGAAGGTGTACCGCCTAGAACGTGAACGTGCATGGGCGTGACCGGTCCTTTAAACAGTTTAACGCACGTACGCGATGACACCGTGGATGGTTACTGGGTTGCATCCCTGATAGATGATCTATTAGTAGACTGTAGATTTTATGCATTTATAAGGAAACTGAAACGTGCAAAGAATATAAACATTGCAGGTAATGTGGAAAAATGTAGAAAATACCGAAAAAATACACGTAATATATAAATAAATAAATACACGAATAAATAAGAAACCTGCGTGAAATTTTATGCTACATTTCAGCAGGACTTCATACTAGACAGTTTTTAATGTAAATTATGATCGATGGTCTGTAAAAAAGGAACGTGTCCGCATAAAATCTGGCGCGAAATTTATACTATCGTTAAATGGTTTTTTACGAACGGTTTACCGAGATCACCGTTAAACGTCGAGAGCGGCTGCCGTCGAGCACCCGTTAATCGAGCGTAAATATCGGATCGTAGACCCTAATTTATAGAGCAACGATAGGCAAGCCTGTCAATCCGCGCTCACCGATTAGAAGGAAGCGTGATGAAGCAGGCCTGTCACGTAACGCATCGACATCGCCATAATCGTATCGGTGATTAATTTAGCGCTGGCAATTTATCGTTGAGACTCGAATTCGCTGGCAACAGCGCGTGTCGTTAATACATCATCGATCGTAACGAGCCGATTAAAATCTCCTGTGCGCTGTTATATTTAAAAATGGACGTCGAAATTGCCACTTGCAGCTTAAGGTGATTCGATAGAAAAGAAAGCAGTTCGTAACATAAAATATCGTCTCGATCTTAACCGATGTATTAAAACTCGAAGGAATATTCAAATTACGAGGAGAGAGTCGCGAGGCGAGGGGTTAAACGCGTTTATCGAGTCGTTTATCTCGTTTTCGTCTCCCCGTTCAGGGGAATCGAGGAATAACGCAAACGACACGGCCTACGCGATCAGGCTTTATGGTTTCGTAAGATAGCCTGACGGGGCATTGAAATGCAAGCTTAGGCTACGTGCCGGAAGTCCGGCGTGGCGTGTCCCGACTGTCAACGGAATGGACGCGGTCCGATTTCGATCTCTATCGATTATCCACCGGTGTATCCCGTCACCCTCGTCCCGGCGCGACGGGCCCTCGCGTTAACTATTTAAAAGCCGTACCCTCCCTCCCTCCCTCGCCCGTCTGACCATTATCGGCCGGTGAAATCGGCGTCGATCGCACGAATAATTCGCTGTTACACCGACGCTGTCGCTTTTTTCCCTTGTTAACGCCTGTAACGATATCGGCTTTCGGCTTTCTACGCCGCGATTTCCTCGGCAATTAATTATCGTGAAAGCGCGCGCCGTCGAAGGTTACACGAGTCCGATACGGAGTGATAGATAACTCGACTTGTATCGATCCTGGTTTTTGCATTGTTTCAATTTGCGAGTCGAGCATCGAATAGTACAGTTTCATTAAAATAACTTTTCTAGTCTCTGTATTTATTTGTTAACACGTTCCGTGTCACGTGTACCGCCGATGGTGCATGTTAAACTTTCTATTTAGACCGCGTGTACCACTAGTGCTATCGGACACTGACACAGTATAAGAATGTACAGTAAGTTCGTTTAGTGATCGTCCAGAGAGTGACTGGACACTTAAGAGATGATTTCTGATTAACTGCGAAGAAGTGCGCCTAAATCGGAAATAGTTAGCTTTGGTCCATCATGTTTGCTAATTTTTTGAAAAGAAATTCCATTCTCTGTTTCAATTGTAAATGTAAATTCTAATCTTTTACGTATTCCCTGTTGCAGCGATGAGTCCAGCATTGGGGATGCACCCAGGCATGGCGCCGCACCTACAGCAGCTTCAGGCTCACCTTTTGAGGAGCGCAGCGGCAGCTGCCCTTCTGCCACACGCGCATCCCTTGCAACCCCCCGCGCCTCCACCACCGCCGCCACATCCTCACCCACACGCTCATGGATTATCACCGCATTCGCAATTGTACCCCGGAGTGCCACCCCATTCCACCGCCTCGGCGACCCTCGGTCCTCACGGAGGAGGACTCCCCCCGAAAACCGAGGTAAGTTATTCATATAAGATTCACATCGTTTCATACACCCGATACTCGATTTACGCGGAGTATATCCGTTCCACGTGGATTCGTTTTATAAGAAAATCGAGGTGGTAGTATCTGATGAACCACCTTGTATACATGACCAGTCGATGCGTTCAGACTTCTCAGCTTCATCTTTGAAACACGCACGGGGAGAGGAGCGAAGCCCAAGCAGAAAGAGAAAAAGATTGGGTTACCCTCGCTGCATGGTCCTCGGGTTACAAGCAATCTCGCGCACATTATTTCGCCAGATTTCACCCCCGTCCACCTGACCATCGTTCTTTATCTTCCCCCTCTCCCCTATCCTCGGCGTTCTCTCCCCGTTGCCTACGTCCTCCTTCGCGTTGTTAATCGCGTTGTACCGCACGGCTCTCGCCTTCGCTTTCTGCGTTCGTACCGGCTCCCTTCGTTTCTAGCCTAGGTTTCTGTTTCTCCCGTTGCCCGCTCTGATTTATTTACGTCTCCGCCGTGCTGCGCGGCGTTTTCATTTTCTCCATCGAGCGACACGACTCGCCGTGCCGCGTGTCCGCACGCTGTAAAGTTCCCCGAGCCGGAGCTGATTGCCATCGTCTTGCGTTTCGCCGACTGTTTCCCACTAGGTGATCGATGAATTTATAGGCACCGCGGGTAATCGAGTGGTGCTGCTCCGATGGTCTCGCTTAAGAAAACGCGAACCCCGAGCATTGTGCAACGTCTCTGTGTACGGCGCTGATCGATTGTTATCCATATTTAAGTAGAATTGAAATATATTTAACAAATCATATTAAGCAACTCGGCGTATTAAAACTGTCCGTGGCTCGTGGTGTTCGACTGTTATGTTGTGACTATAAATTTCTCGATCGGACAACTTAATTGAAACCCCAGCGAGCGGTTTCTCTGGACGCTGTCGAAAGCGTTAGAAGTGTTAATGGCCTTTATCTAACTTCGACATCTTTCGTGGGTATCAGAACGTGCTAAAAGTTTTCTTTTAGAGCCTTCGTCTAATGCCCTTTCCTAAACCTAAATTTATGTACTATTGGGGTGAAACGTGTTTTTATGTATTTCTCAACATTCCTCAAGTTTGATGACTACACTGCGGATTTTATGCGTTTATGAGAAATCTGTATGTGTAAAGAATATATAAAACATACTACAATTTGACCATCTATAATTTTACATTTTAATAATACTTTAATTAATTTTGCATTTTAATAATACCACCTTAAGTAATTTCGCTTTCATCTGAAATGCAATGTGAGAGATCTCAGAATTCTATTTGTACGTACCTAGCAGTTTACTCGATTCAACGATCGATCGGATCGATACTACATAGTTGTTGCACGAAGAACGCGATAATTGCGAGATCGCGTGCGAGATCGTCTGTCACGAGGCGCACGCTCCCTTGCACGGTGTTTGCTTTAGAAAACGGGTGTCTTAACATAAGTGAGATCCGTTGATACCAGCCTTGTACCGCGCCGATTGAATTACCACCGATTTTCCCGTTGCCACCAGTTCAGTAGGAGCTGAATCTCGATTGAAACTGGTTGCGGTGTAATAATAATTTGAAACCGATCGGGGTAATCATACGCGATTGTTGTAATTCTCAGAGCGCGGAGTCGTGCAGAAAGGCGTCGGAATCGTCGAGCAGGTCAGTGACGGCCGAAGCTGACACCTCCTCGAGGCGAGCGTCTACTAAAGTGAAGAGGGAACCGGCGACGACCACGACGACGAATGCTACGACGACCACTGCGCCACCCACCCATCCTCAGGGTCTCAGCCCCAGCGAGGACCTCAGGGACGAACCCGGTGATTTCATCGAGACCAATTGTCACTGGAGGGACTGCGGCCTCGAATTTCCCACCCAGGTAACGATCTCACGTACTAAACAGATTTCTTCAATCGCAACAGCTTCACTGATACTTCTTTTATTAAACCGGTTTAAAGGATGATCTTGTGAAACATATCAACAACGATCACATACACGCGAACAAGAAAAGCTTCGTCTGCGGCTGGGAGGACTGTTCGAGGGAAGAAAAACCGTTCAAAGCTCAATACATGCTGGTGGTGCACATGAGAAGGCACACTGGTGAAAAACCTCACAAATGCACGGTTGGTATTCGAATCCTTCATTCAAAGTCAATAGCATTATACTTTATTTTTAATTATAATTTTCTATCACATTTCTAATTACAATTTTGTGTCATATTTTTAATTATGATTTTACAATTATTTTTAATCACAGTTCGAGGGCTGCTTCAAGGCATACTCGCGATTGGAGAACCTGAAGACTCATCTTAGGTCGCACACCGGCGAAAAACCGTACACCTGCGAATATCCCGGATGCAGCAAAGCGTTCAGCAACGCTAGCGACCGTGCAAAGCACCAGAACAGGACTCATTCCAACGAAGTAATTATCGTTTGCTCGAATTAATAATCGTGGAATGAACGAGATAAAATAAAGTCACGCGCAATATAAAAATTGCCGAACTTACGTTCTTTTTAATAAATTTTTTCAGAAACCATACGTCTGCAAAGCTCCGGGTTGCACGAAGAGGTACACAGACCCATCGTCACTGAGGAAGCACGTGAAAACAGTGCACGGCGCGGAATTCTACGCGAACAAGAAGCACAAAGGCGGCGGCGGAGACGGCGGCGGAAGCGACGAGGCCGGCGCTGGCGGCCACAGCCCCAGCAGAAGCGAGGATCTTCACCCGAAGACGCCGAGCTTATCGAGCCCGAGCGTCAAATCCGAGAGCGAGGCTAACAGTCCTCCTAGCATGATGCAGCAACAGGGAAGTCCTTTGGTCGGCGGTTGTAACGACGAAGTCGCAGGTGTCGGCGCCTTGAACGCCGACGGAGTCGCATTGGCTGAGGAACCTTGGAACGAGGAGCCCGACGATCTGGACATCGCTGATCTGCCGGTCGCCCTTCGTGCTATGGTGAGCTCTTGATTTATTTAATCATTACTTCCCATCCTTCTTTCAAAGTGAATTTTGGGAATCATCTATCAACTTGCCAAATAAAATTTGATAGGTCGGCGGAATGGAGTCGCAACAGCAGCAACAACCTCCTCCACCAACCTCGAGAAATCGGCTGAAAGGCAGACTGAGTGCGAAGGGCATGCCGAATTTGCCTGTTAGCATGTCGGGCATGAGAGGAACGCGCGGAATGGGTCCTCAGGGCAACATCGGCGACCTGAACAGGCGAATCACCGATCTGAAAATGGAAGGTGGCGGTCCTAATCGTCAAACGAGCCTGTCGGACTTGCAGCTCAGGTTGCAGCCTCTCAGCGAGCCGCGAAGGGACAGCAACAGCACCGTGAGCACTTACTATGGCAGCATGAAGTCGACGGACTTCGGTAGCAGAAGAAGCAGTCAAGCTAGCGCGGGCAGTGCTGTTAGAATGGGTCAAACGGGTCCCGGAAGTTTCTATGATCCTATTAGCCCGGGCACGTCCAGAAGAAGTAGTCAGATGAGTACTACTTCCGGTAGAATCAACCCGCCCAGCCATCTTCAAGGACCTTACTCGACGAGCAATCTCGTCGTTCAAACCCAGAACATGTCTCTTCAGGTGAGAACACTTCTTTTTCAATTTTATATTTTTATTCCATAATGGAAAATCTACAATTTTTAATGAAATTCAGGGGATCCAGAGTGTGCCGGGAGATTGGAACGGTCCGAGCGGTCATTGCACGCAACCGTCGAACGATCGTCGCATGTCGGAGCCAACGAGAGGTCATCAAGCTCAAAGAAATTCCCCGCCCATGCCACCCAGGCCGAGGTCGGCTCAGCTTCCAGAGCATCATCCTAATCAGGAAGTTATCCTCGACGAAGTCGGCGAAGGCGAAATGGTAGAGAATAAGCTGGTCATTCCCGATGAGATGATGCAATACTTGAATCAAGTGTGTATTCACTTCATCAATCCTGAAATTAATTACCACCTAGGTATATTCTATTGCTAACGGATCGCTCTTCGTTCCAGGTACAAGCAGGTGGCGCCCAATTGAACTATCGTGGCAGCCCCCTTCCCATCTGTCAGTCTCCCATTTGTACCAATCCTTTGCACTATCAACGTCAAATGCAACCTTGCAATTACAATCAGTCTCATCAGCAGAGTTGTTACTCTCAACCACAGCAGCAACAGCAACAAGGCGGTCAACCAACTTGCATGAATTATCAGAATACCTCTCCGTCACCTTACAATCAATGCCCCAGTTCGCGACCCACTCCACCAAATTCGCAATACTGTCCACCGCCTAATTACCCGCCTCAACCGAACAGCGGACAAGTCCTCAGCCCCGCGTCAGGCCAAGTCATGTCCCCCGGATCTCATTACGCGCCGAGTCACATCAGCGACCAACCTTTGACATCACCGGCGGCTGGCGCTCTGGCGCCTCAACACCCGCCTCAAAGTCTTCCTCAAAATTCTGCCCAGATGACCAGGAACTGCCCCCAGAACCACGCGCATCACGGTTACTACCCTAACTACAACTGTCAAGGGCAGATGAACGCGAATTGCGCGGGGAACATGAACGGCCAATCAAACCACCACGGAAATAGCCCCTGCGCACCGCCTAACCACAGTAGTATAGCTCAACAACCGTGCGTACCGATGCGTCCGACCGGCAATTGTCAGCAGTTATGCGGCCAGCAGACAGCGATGCCTAATCAGACGACGATGAATCATACGAACGCGCAATGCGGTCAGATGGGCAATCAATGCACCAGGCCAATGGTACCGGCCAATGGCCAGGTACCAAACCAGTGCGCGCCGATATCTCCGCACTGTTCCCAGCTGAATATGCCTAATCAAGCTAAGCCGATGACTAGTCTTCAGGGTTGTCAACAGCAAACGACACCCTGCCTGCAAATGGGCACTTGCGCGCATCCCACTGGTGGCCACAGACCGACGGTTACCGATGCCAGTCTGCCTAAGAGAACCTCGCCCCAGTTGTGCACTGCTCAGCAGACCAACTGCAGGATGCAGCAGCAGCATCACGCGTGCACGCACAATTGCCAGGCCCACGGCAATCCCCCGGGTCACGCACAGTTCAACTGCAGCTGTCAGTGGGGCTACGGCGGCGATCAATGTTACCACGAGCAAGCAGGCGCTGCTATGCCGGAAATTCAATGCAGGGACATCAGTCAGTCGCAGCAGGGATCGCCTATGAAACCGCCACAGGGCATGAGGCAAGATTCATATCGAAGGACCCTCGAATACGTGCAACAGTGCAGGAATTGGTCTGGTAACGCGCAGACACACGAGACGAACGTCTCGAGTTCCACTCATCCGATGTCTTTGCCGCAGCCGCTGCCATCCAGTGCTAACATGGTAGTAAACGACATGACCTCGTCTCTCAGCTCGCTGCTCGAGGAGAACAGATACTTGCAGATGATTCAGTGAATCGATATAAATGCAGAAACACGTAAAATATATATTTTCTACTGTCTCCTTTTTTATATGAAATTACTTATCCAGTTAACTCGATCTTATCAGTCGACAATGGACGAAATTCTCGGTGATTAAGCAAACGATTGACAATCAAAGTGATATACGATAAGGATCCGAAAATGTTCTCTCTATTTTGTGCTACTTAGCCCGTAGTTTCTGTACAAAATTGGAACCACTTTCCGGGTGCCTTATGATCGAGCCTAAACGCGTACAAGTGTGGAGTAATTTATTACACTCTTAGAGATATATATATATATACATATTTAAGATACAACTTGAAACACTGCATTGAAATTTATAAATAGTTTTTAACCAAGCGCTACGGAATTTATAGGAGTTTTAAAAGTTGTCAGAGACTGTATTTTTCGACGGTGTCCTTCTACCGTATTTTTGTACCAATCCTCCTCAATGCGTGCCAACAATGTTCTTAATCGAATAGTCTGTAATTTTATAATTTAGCGTAAACAAGCAGGCGGCGTGCGGACGGTGCGCTGTGATAACGATGCACTTGAACGAGATTAATCAACGACAATACAAACGTAAACTACTAAAAAATATTGAAAGTCTGTAGATAAATCCCGAATAACTTTAGAGATTATTAAAGCTCACGGACAACGTGCATGATAATTATAATACATTAACTGAGCATAGAAATATTTTGTGAAACTGTGTCGGGTGACTGCGTGTACATGTATTACCTAAGTTAGGATCGCTGTAAAAAAAACATAGGATAGTCGTGGAAAAGCATTTCTAGGTAAGTTCGATTTGACTGCAACGGTCATCGGGAATCTTAATTTCTTTTATAGAACTTCGAATATTCGATCGAGTGCCTTTTGTACGTCGTTGGACGACGAAGCGTATAAGGAAGAGTTGTAAAACTTAGCGTACCTACATCTGTTTTCTTTTTTTTTTTGTTATACAAACGATTTTGTACGAATTTTATTATTGTATCCACCGGAGTGCGAGGAGCCTTGTGAATATTATACATATCTATCGTATACATATTAGCGTAGCGATTCAACCTTATGCAAGTGGGAAGAACAGAGAAGAAGATTTTACACGCCCTGAGAATTGTTAATTATTTTAAAAATAAACCGTATCGATCCCATCAACACGTTCTTATATTTTATGTTATTACTAAAGAATAATTTTAGAACAGGTAAGAATTAATGAAACGGTTGTATTTATTGCAGAGATTTTTTATTTATACAGTGAAGTTAATAAGTACAATTCGTAGAAGGTATAAAACAGGAACGGACTCGCGTCTGATCACATTCAGGTTTTTCGTTAGGAACGAAACGTTACAACATAGATAAAGTGATAGACAATAAAAATAGTCGATCGTTAAAAAGGGTACATTGAATATAGACATTGACAAATTCCTAGCTTCGAATCATTGATATATTTCACTGGATTGAAGGATACATCGAATTCACGTAATCGGGATATCCGTTTGCCGAATATTTAAATCGGAGTCTGTTGACTCATCGTAAATAGTCTTCGAAACGGGAGCCAACGCGCGTTGTTCGTGGCACGTGTTTTTCACGTTTCCGCGTTCGACAAAAATAATCGCGTGATCGAAAGTTGTGGGCGTTTCAAGACGCGTTATTGGGCGACGATTCGTTGGACTCGTCGCTTGAGACGGGTTTCTCGGTATTACAATTAGCGTCCTCGGTGCTCGATGATTCAGATACCTGAGCAAGAATTATTATTATCAATGATAGCACGATTAATATTTTGCTTCTAAATTCTGCAATTTCTTTGCACTGTGAATCGCGCGATTTTAGAATTCTATTCACTTACCGCATCCGTCGCATTTGTAGATTTAATATTCACAGCTTCGGTTTCATCCAATTCTGCTTCTGTGTCCGGCGTAGGCGTCCGCTGTTCCAACGTCGCGGAAGAACTCGTCTTTGGTTCAGACAATTCCGTATCCGTAGGCTGTTCCGATTCCGTGTCTGGCGTCGGAGACCGAGGACTTTCCTGTGAACATATTTTATTCACGAATCAATGAATAGGAAACTTTATTCGATTCCGGATTATTCGAATTCTGATTAAAACCTTTCTCGGTTTTCTCCGTGGTCCCAATATGATTCTTCCATCTACCGCGTTGTCCTCTTCGTCGCTGTCGTCCCCCTGCTCATCGCTGAATCCACTTTCGGCACTGCATAGAAAAACACATAATTTTAACATCCGAAATGAAAAAA